TATATATATATATATGGTACATGTTTTATAATAGAATATAATGCAAGTTAATGTAACATTCGTGTACTTAACTTACTTACTTACTTACTTACATGAATGGCCCATTTTTTGTATTCTTAAGATAAATGCGCATATTGAGTATAAAAAGAAGAAAAATTATATGTTCGGTGTTTTAAGTATACGCTTTTATATAGGGTGAACTAACATAAGAGTTTTCCAGGGTGATCTTTACAATCGGTTTAATCGATATTATTTTAAAAATAACGTAAAAATATACTTTTGATTATATATCTTGTATGTTTTTCATGATATTATACATTATTATCAATATAATTAAGCATTGGCATTAATAAATTTTATAAACGCATAATAATAATAATATATTCAACATAACTTTGTTTTCGGAGTAATATTTTGTGATTCCTTTATGTTTTGATAATTTGATTTACGAATTAGAAATAAAATGTTTCACAGATTTCTCTCTCTCGAGTGTATAATTATTTTCTATTAATTAAAAATATATGATATACGTTTCTCGTAGTTTTAATCGAATTATTTCAAAGAGTGAACATTTTATTTGCTCGAGTTTCCAAATTGTGTAGAAAACAAATAATTGTTATTATGAGAAAAGTATACTTTTGTATATTTTCGTTAACGAATACATCATTTATTCCTTTTAGAAATAATTTCAATTTATTATGAAACATCCTGTATTACTTTAACGTGAAACGTCCGTTGTTTTTTTGTCCCAAATGTAAAAAAAAGGGAAATCAACTTATCGAAAGAGGAGAGTAATGTAATAAATATGTGTATTCCGGGTGTAACAATAAATACTCAAAGAAATTGTCAATAATAAATTTGTCACGCGTGTAAAAAAAAAAGAAGAAAAAAGAAAAGTAGTTTATGTCAACGCGAATCCTAAAATATTTATCTTTCTAACATCGAAAAGATGATGATAATCTCAAAAATTAGTATTATTCCAAACGTGGTTAAATATTTGACCACATAAGTATATTTAATCTCATTCCAGCAAATAAAATAAAACATAACTGGAGAACTACCACTTATCGGACCGCGTACTTGAAAGTTTACAACTCGGAAATAAAACATTTCCGTACCTATGCGTTGACATAACTTATGTTTTTTTTTTATCTTCTCTACGCGTACGGACAATTCATTTCCAAAGTTTTACTCGTGTATTTTTATTAAATCAAAAAAAAAAAATTAAAAAAAAAAAACAAAAGAAAGTATTTTTTAAGGTCTAACAATAAGAATAATATTCAATAATAACTAACTTAAAATCCGCGTTGTTTTTTTTCTATAAAAATAAATTAACCTAATAAATATACATTTGTTTGTATAATATATGTCAGACTGTTATTAAAAAATTAAAAATAATTATCATATATATATATATAAAGATAATTTACAAAAAAAGTATTCATTCCTTGACAAACGTTAAAAAAATAAATATCAAACTTAAAATACGAAATCGTGATAAAGTTTTCGTTGACGAACGGAAATCAACCACGCCCCGAAATGATTTATTTTATTTTGTTTTCTTAATAAATATTCCATTTCTCTCCGAATTCCCGTAAGGATTCCAAACTTTTGGCAGATAGTGTACAAGCATTGCCCGTCGTTTTCTGTCGAAGGGGGCTCAACTTCTCGAGAGAATAACACATCTATATATATATATATATATATATGTGTGTTTATATATATATACATGTGAGAACGTAGGGTTGTACGTAACCTCCGTTAGCCAAGCTTTACAAACCATATAACGTTGGACGACATGTTTTGAACAAGTCAGAGGGAGAAAGTACGATAGCATCGATACCATTCTAACTAACGAAGTATTACGACGTCATATTGAATCGACATTTTATATACTATCACTATTCTTCACTATTACGATTTATATATCACGTATTATACTCCTCTACCTTTTACGTTTCGTCAATATCCTACTACTACTACTATTACTTCTTCTTCCTCTTCTTCTTCTTCTTCTTCTTCTTCTTCTTCTTCTTCTTCTTCTTCTTCTTCTTCTTCTTCTTCTTCTTCTTCGTTTGTAGGTGTCAACTGTGTTCCTGTATATGATCGAATGTAAATGTATAAACGGAAGTATACGTCCGATAATGTTTAGAATTAATAATTAATTTTCTTTGAATTTCTTTCCCATTTTTAGACACTTCGATATCGCGTATAAATCTTTCTCCAAAGATTTAACATCTTACTTCGTATCTTTTTTTTTAATTCTCCAATTGTTAACATAATTGTTCCGGTAATTACCAATGTAGGCTGTAAGTCTATCAAAAATTCAATCCAATTTATTTGATGATTCATTTTAATGATATTCATTGTTTCAATAGATAAAATATATTAATATCAATTTTGTTTTGTTTTGTTTTTTTCTTTTTTTTTTTTTCATTTTTTTCGACCATTTAAAGTCCACTCTCGTAATTAATGCGCGGCACGAAAGATTAATTCAATGTAATTGGATTAACAAATTTATAATTAGTTATTAATATGTTGATAAGTGAAATTGATTCTTTTTTTTTTTTTTCTTATAATCGAATAATATTGTTTTTAGAATTAATTGTGAATACTCAAAGATAATTGTTAAATAATTATATATCGGACATTTTGTTTAATAATTATTAAATAATTATTAATAAAGATCGTTCGCAAGAGTGTTCACATTGATATATGGCTTTAAAAAAAGTATTATAAACGAAAAGGTTAAATTATAACGCGTCGTTCGGTTTTATACGTTTCATTTATTTCCTATAGGTTACATTTTCTAGAGAGAGTGTGTAAAATCGAGTGAAAGGAAACCATGAAAACTTATTCCTTTATTTATCTATTTCATTTCTTTCTTTTTCTATTCGCGAGTAGATATTGTCTGTTACATGAAAAATAGATTTTCGGAACACGTTTTTTTTACGAATGACCGAAATAAAGCTCGATTGATAACAACAATGTATAGTTATGTATATATATATATGTTACCGGAATAGTGGGAAATCAGGCAATGTTAACAATTCCCCGTTGCCTGACTATTCCGGTAACATATATATATATAAATATACATATAGAAAGTAGTCGAAATAAAAAGTATATGTGTTTGTGTATTGTTCGTTTTATAATAGGAGCTTTAACGTGTTCTACCTTGCCCTCTTTCCTATAATATATGTAGTATATACTATATGTATACAAATATACACACAACTTGCATAGCCTTGTCCCCAGACGAACACACGCCCTACTTACTTAACTCGTCTAACGGATAATTCTGTCCTTAATTAAAACCCTTTAATGGGACGCACTCGTTTTTATCTACATATCTGCATCGCGTTTCCTCCTTAAAATTTTATTATTTAAGATTAAGATAGATTAATTACGATTATCTAAATTTTTACCATTAGAAAGGTACCATGATAATAATAATAATAGTAGTAATAATAATACTAGTAATAATAATAATGGCGGTAAAAGAACTTTGTGATTGGTCGATCGTGTTTGGTATTTGATTTTAAGGTTAACTTTCATTTTCTTTTTCTTTTCTATTCTCTCTCCTTCGTAGTTTTATATATCGTAATAAAGTAGAAACATAGAAATATTGTTTTTTCCTTCCCCCATTACTTTTTTTTCCTTTTTTTTTTTATCGATCGATTCGATACCACCCGAATCGATAACTAAATTCGTAATTCGTTCGCGTTGCCAGTGGTCGTTCTGTTTTTCGCGCGAAGATATGAATGATTACTTAGGTCGCACATGATCGATTTCACTATAGTGCTTGGGTGATATGGTGGTAGGGGTGGGGGTGGTTTATAAGCAAGTACCAGAAACTATGTTTCATGGACGTGAAATAACTTTTAATTTGTCGAAGGACGAGCTAAATGTTTTTTTTTTTTTGTCAGTCGACAATTACAACAAATTATCTGGAAATAAAAATCTTCTATGAAAAGAAAATAACTTTTTTTTTTTCCTTTAGAGAGAGAGAGAGAGAGATAATATAATACAAGGACAAAAAAATAAATCCCTTTCTCTTTTGTATATATATATTATATTATATTATATTATATTATATAAGTAGGTGTATTCAAGGTGCGTGTAAATCAAAGTAAGACAAACCGTGTAGGTAGAATCTTTGTCAGCGTCTTTAAAGTAACTCTACCTACGACTTCAGATATGCTATTACATACGTAGAAATATATAAGGTGACTGAATATTTCTTTCTTTTCTTTCTTTTTTTGTTTTGTCGACAAATATCTTATCAATATACTTTACCATAGAAAAATTGTTATATCAACAACATTTTTATAATAAATACTCTTCAAGAGAAATAATATAAATTATTACCTTTCATATTGTTATGTTTTTATTTTCAATTATACAATATATATTTTACAAATATTTTATATAATAATACCCAGTATTTCTCTAGTATAATATATAGTAACATAAACATATAACTATTAACTTTCATATTATTACGCATTTCTATCTTCATATATGCAATATTTATTTTATGGACACTCTATATAAAACTACCCATTCATATATTGTATTCGTTTTATTTTCCTTTTCTCTCTCTCTCTCTCTCTCTCTCTCTCTTTTATCTCAGATATCGCTAATAATGTCTTCGTAGGAACGTCTTTATTTGGTTAAAGTTCAATGACTGCTGAAGTTGCAGTCCCGATCGATATCTTCAATGAATTATTAATGAATAACGACAAAGATAGAAACAACATCGAGCTTTTCCTATCCTTACGAATCTTTGTTTCCATTTAATTTAAGTTATCTCATGAAAATTAATTGATTCTTAAACTTTATCCTATCCTACGAAACATCTTCTTCTTCTTCTTCTTCTTCAGCATCATTATCTTCTTCTTATTCTTATTCTACATTTAAAATAAGTTTACTAATGAAAATAAATTTATTGTTGCAGATAAGCGGTATCGTCTTCATCTCCGTAGGCGCAGTAATTCTGGTAGTTTATCGCGGTTACAACAATTTCGTCGACAGCTGGTTCTTCGCTGCACCTATCTTGATGATAATAGTTGGCATTATAGTTTCTCTGGTGTCTTTCTTCGGTTGTTGCGGCGCAGTAAAAGAAAATCATTGCATGTTGATAACTGTAAGCACTTGTTCCTTTTTGTTTGTTTGTTTATTTTGTTTTCTTTTTCGTTTATTTAAAAATAAAATAAAACAAAGATAATTAATTTACCGTTATTTGCGGCGCCATTTTTACGCCGTTGCCATATTACATTCTATATATATAGAACTATATATATATTTCACGTTTTTATTATTATTATTATTATTATTATTATTATTATTACTATTTTTCTTTTTTCAGTACTCGGTCTTCTTGATGATCATTTTCGCACTCGAATTGGGTGCAGGTATCTCAGGATATGTAATGCGAAGCGAAGTAGATTCGATGTTGCATAATCGTTTGAATGAAACATTTTACCAATACTCAAGCGATGAGAGCATTCGCAAATCTTGGGATGTAATGCAATACGACGTAAGTGTATTTTAATACTAAACAGACATAAATAGTCTCTTTATAATAATATCAATCATTATTATTTTTCTTTTTTTCCGTACACTCGCACATTATTATACTCGTCATTTCTTAGAATCATATTTAATCTCACATCCTTGTTTTTTTTTTTTTTAAAAACAGAAAAATTAGGTTTTTCTTTTTCTGACTGAAATAAAACTTTTAGTACATTCATTAAAAATTTCTCTATAGTTGTTTTTTTTTTTCTACAAAATAATTGATTTTCGTAGATAGAAATTCATCTTTGTCGGTCATTTTGTTTGTAAAAGAAAAGAAAACAAATTGCTGAAATCGAAGAAAAGAATTTTCCATTTTTTCGAATTATAAATGCGTACAAATACGAATATAACTATTATTGATGAATAGATACAAAACTCATGTCTCATTTGTATCGTAAAAGAGAAAAAGAAACAAAATGGCTACGTGATTGAGAAGGATAAGATTTTTTGAATTTTTTTTGCAAATTACTGTAACAAAAAAATATATATATGTATAAATTTTAGATCGATATATTCTTCGTCTTTTTTTCCTTAGTATGTTAGATTATTGTATACTATATGATACGCGAATATACGACTCGTGTATTACTACGTCTATGTATTTCTCATAACCTTACCCACGTAGTAACTTACACGTATCGTATCTATCTTTATTTGTACGTAGCTGATATTAATGATACTATATGCAAAGATCCTTGAATATTTGCTAGCATACTGAGTTTCTTATACGTATAATAATTCTTCCTTGTCCTTAGCCTTTCCTATAAAATATCTAAAAAATCATCATCTGTTTATATTCATTACAAAGTATTACAAAATTCTTATATATATTTATTGTATTAAAAGAAACTATCCACACTACGTGTATGTATTTGTTATAAATATTGTTTTGCTCGTGATATTTAAGCTCGATCGATTACTATGGTAAAGTAAACTTAATAAATCTGGTATTTACGCGAAGTGTGTTATACACTGGGTCATGCTATATATAAGTATAATGTATAAATGTATAGAGTGTCTCGTTTGAATCACCTCTTATATTATCTCTGGTTGGATTTTAATAATAATATAATAATAATAATAATCATTTATTTTTCTAAATAAAATATATATACATATCGAATCTTATATTTTTATCGAAATAACTTGGAAAATTCAAATAGGACACCCCATACATATATTACTTACCCAATATATACATCTTCACCGGTGAAAGGAAAATTGTGTAAGAATCGTTTGATCAATTACTAAACATATTTCCGCTATTAAATACGGGTTAATAGTAAACAACGTCAACAATAACAACAATAATAATAATAATGATGATCGAAATATGTAGTCCGTGATCATATATTCGAATTTCGAATATAATTATTTTTCTTGCGTGATACCCCTTTGTAAATGTATTCTCTCTCATTCATTTTCTAAATTATTATTTTCTAGTTACAATGCTGTGGTATAAAAAGTCCAGCGGATTGGTCCAACAATGGTTACATAGATAACGATGTACCGAATTCTTGTTGTAAAGAAATTTCAACCGAAGAAAAATGTGATTCTAATTCGATTTATTCCAATGCCGATGGTTGTATGCCCAAATTAGAAAAGACCATTAAATACAATTCTTTGGCTTTGGCATCCGTCGGTGTAGGGATCGCTCTTACTCAGGTAATTATCAATCGATCTTTGATTTAATTTTCAATTAAATCGTATTTCTCTCTTTTTTATTATGCAAAAATAAAGAACAATTAATTTAATACGAAATTGCATTGAATATGCAATTGCGATTACAATTCGTATTACATGAGAACATTGAATTAGAAATATGTTATTAAAATATAAGCTTCGTACGAGTTTTTGTTAAAAAGAAAAACACACACACACAAAATTATTAATATTCATTATTATTTATTGATTTCAGTTGATCGGAGTAACCTTTGCGTGCTGTTTGGCTCGCTCGATTCGTCGCGAGTATGAGACTGTGTAAGCTGACAGACACAAATATTAAATTGCAACATGCCTAACATGCACTTCTTTTTTTTTTTTTTATAAATATATATATATATATAAATATTGTTCTGTTACACACTGGTTACATCACCCTTACATCTCTCTGTTATGTTAATTATATATAACTTACAATCTCGGTGCACAATTCACATATCTCAAGAGTGTATTTCTTTTTTTGTTCCTTTTTATTGCTTATCTTACTGACCACACTTTGCGTTGAATATTCTTATCTCTCTCTCTCTCTCTAAAAACAAAACAAACAAAAAATAAGGGTTGATCAATTAAAAATACATATTGGACGTATGGTATTGGTATACTAAATACGAAATCGATACTATTTTTGGTATTTGGGCTTTCTCTATAGTCGTGTAAAAATCTTTTTAATATGTTTATATATATATATATATATTTATATTTATATATATATAAACATTCTTACATTAAATTTACCAACACACAAAGACTTTATATGTATATTACTGTAATAATCTATCACTACCGCAACACACATTGTTTTTTTTTGTAAATCCTATTATATAAATTTGCACTCTGTGTAGGTAACTATACGTTATACATACGTAATACCTAATCGTATATAACTTCAGCTTTATAATATTGTTATAGCCGAGCCATGGATAATAACACGATTCGAAAAATGGCATATAACATAATTATTGACCGGCACAAATTATTTCAATATATGCTAAGAGCTTTATGTAAAATGTGTAAACTTTAATCGAATGATCATCCATCGTTTATATTAGCTTATTAGCAAGACTATATTTTAATAGTGTTCACTCGTGCCAATCTTTTCGAGTTCGAATATTATTTTTAACAAAAGGAGAAGAAGAAGAAGAAGAAGAAGAAAGAGAAAAAAAAAACGGAACAATTTTTAATTAATTATAAAAATTTTCTAAGAAGTTTTTTTTTTAATAAGTCTCTTGTGGCTAAGCAAATATTCGTTTTAAGTTAATAGCGTTGACGATGTTAAACGATGACAAGATATATATCGTCATCTATTATTATTATTATTATTATTTTTTTTTTTTTTTTATTTTTCTTTTTTTTAGTTCTTCTTTCAATCATCAAAAAATATAATTCTAAATTTAAAAAGCGCGGTAAAGCGAGACAGACGCAATTTATGTTAAAAAACAAAAGCATCTCTTATTTCTGTATATTCGTATGAATATATATTATAATACACGTCTGTGTAGATTATTTATTAGGGCTTCATTGTAATAATGCTAGTCTTATTTGGATTTCATTGTTTATTAAGCATTGATGATTATATAAGTACTCGAGAAAACTGTACAGTTTCAAATGTGTCTGTGATTTTGAAAATCATGATTATTAAGCAAATTATTTCTTGATACATTAAGTTTGTTTTAATACGAACGAACGACGATTTCTTTTTTTTTTTATGTTTTTTTTTCTTTTAGATTAACAGGCATATATCATGCCCCAGCCCCCCTCCTCTTTGTCTACACGAATATTAAACAAGTATAATAGATTTTAGGGCGAATATTCATATATTGATATACCGTTTGATATACGGTCAAATATATATGCGTAAACACTACAGTTGTGTAAGAATTAATATTTATCTATTATTAAGAGATGTTCTGTTGTTTATTACGGTGTAAAGTTTATGTAGTGTTATAATTATAATTAATAGCCATATATATATATATATATTTATAGAATATACAGGGTGTCCCGTAACAGATGATACGAACGAGCCGTGAATGATTCTGCGAGAAAAATTAAATTGAAAATGTAGAATCGAATTTTACGTGTATGAGGCTTTATTTTGGAGAGAACAAATGAATTTGAAAATTTGTTTAATACGTATGCACTTGAATGAGCTTGCAAGCTTGGAAATTAAGAAACTTGTTTGATCAGCATAAAACTAGAACCAATATTAGAAATATCATCATATGACGAAATATCGTCATTGAACAAATTCTTTTTTGATGGATGGGGGATTTTCAATTTAGCTTTTTATATACTCATTCCTTATTCGCAATTGTATCAACAGTTATAGGATACCTTGTATATTACAACATCAGATTCAAATCATTATTTTATCTTTAATACTTTGTAGAGAGAACACACATACACACACACACATATATATATGTATGAAGAATTAATTAACGAAAAATATTTTCTACATAGTGCAGGTAAAATGATACAGAACAAAGTCAATGCCAATTATGTTAATTGTTATAAAGCGAAAGGTCTGACAACTTTGGACAATGCTGGTAATACAAATTTCGCTTAAAATTACGTTTTTCATCAATGGAATGTTTGCTTTTTATATGTTACCGCTTAATCGATATGCAATGCACTTATGTTAATCAATTAATGTATCTCTAAAAAAAGAAAATCTAGTGACGTAATATTTTTACTTACAGCGAAACCACAGCGCACTGATCTGCCATCAGTTAAGGGACATTTTTCATAATATTGTTCATCATACATTGGCAGAAAATATCTTTCTATTTCCATTGCGAATATGACCCATTTTTATTATCGTGCTTTAAACAAAACCAAAAAACAAACAAAAATGTATAGCAAAGAGGAATGATGTTTTAAAACAATACATTTATTATACGCGTAAAAATATACGTAGGAGAGAACATATATATATATATATATCTCTTGAAAAGATTTTTAATCGTCGAAGTACTATTTTCTGATTTCTCTTTTTTATGAAATAATTTTCTAAAAAAAAAAAAAAAAAAAGAATAGGATGATTTACTGCCACTACATGCCAAAAATGCCAAAATGAGCATAGCGACTATAAAAGAACGAAACAAAAAAATACAATCTTACTCTCATTTTCTTTTTATGTAGAATACTATGAGATCATCGTAATGGAACAAAAAAAAAAAGTAAAATAATAAAAAAAAATATAAAAAGATAAATTATAAAAAGCGTTTGAAAAAAAAGAAATAAGAAAGAAAAGAGACAATGATAATTAATGCAATTTTAAATGTGCCATGTGTTTCGCAGCTATGATATAAAAATAATAATTGAAAGAAACAAAAAGAAAAAAAAAGAAAAGAAAGAAAAAAAGAAATTTTTGTCATCTACGTAAAATATGTCTTCGCTCCTTATAGAAGCATAGTTATTCTTCAACATCCTATCGTAAATGTGAGCTACTTAATCATAGTACTCGCGATAACTTAACTACCATCATTCCTCTTTAATTTATTATATTACGTGAAAAGAAACAATGAGCTATTTTTGCCTAATCTTCCCTCCAAACGGTGCAGCGTGGATCGATGATTATCTGAGATTTACTTGCAGAAAAAAAACAAGCTTGTGTTCTAATATTCATTATTATGCAAAATAGCTTATTGATTCTACTGTATTTAAATACGAATCATTTAAAATACGACATACATTCTATGTGTGTCTCTTCTCGATAAGTAAAAGAAAGGAATTCTTTTTTTTTTCTTTTTTTTTTAAATAATTTATTTATTTAAATATAGTTATTATCAAATGTTGCAGCAGTCTTTACTTGTACCAAACACGTAATGATATCGTATTTATTCTATAAATGTGCGTACTTTTATTCGTAAACGATAAAGTATAGTAAGGTATATATATATATATGTATACCTCATATATATGTATAAAAAACAATATGTATATACATATAAGCAATGCATATGCAATATTTCCTCCTTCGTATCAATGCTTAACGCGCAAATGAACAAGCATCTATGTATCTTGGTATTTTTAAGAAAATTTCAATGAAATATTAAATGATTATTAACATTTTTTTCCAATTTATCAATAATAAAATCCTTCGTGTCATTAAATATTCAAATATTCTGTACCACATGTTCTATGCCGTTAGGATTGTATTATTGAAAAAAAAAAAAGAGAAGACTTAAAAATGTTATCCTTAATATGCATTCTTATATGATAAATTGATATAATATTGATCGTTAATATAAAAGAAAAGAAAAGAAAAAGAAAAGATCCTTTACATCGAATCAATTTAGTGAATCAAAGTACTTGCAACCGATATCATGATATTGTTCTATTATTTCTTTAAGTCTTTTAACTATCAAAGAGAATAAGTTGAAACTAGGACAGTTATTGTTAACGACAAGTTATGTTAATGATAATAATAATAATGATGATGATATATACGTATGGTACTTGAAATTTGCTACAATATTCTTTCACTCAATTAAAAAATCATCATAATATATAATTATTTAAATGTAATGGTACAACGATAAAGAAAGAAAGAAAGAAAGAAAGAAAAAAAGAAAGAAAGAAAAAAAGAAAGAAAGAGAGAGGTGTAAAAAGATTTTAAATGATATTTAAATTATGTATGTATGTACGTTTTAAAATGCACTCTGGTAGTATTAAATACGCAAAAACTTAAAATAAATATAAATGAAACATTAATAGATAATATGTAGTCACACATGATATTATAAACTAACTAGCTAACAATAAGAGATATATATATATATAAATAAATATATATGATTTAAAGTGTGCCTAACATATAGAAAGAGAGAAGACATATATTATAAAATGATTTAAATAGACAGGAAAAAGAAAGAAAGGAAAAAAAAAAAAGAGAGAATATTAATGTCACTTAATTGCCTTGTGCAACATAGCTTGTCCAAAACTAGCACCTGTCCAAAGTTCGCTCCTTTTAATTATAATAATCGTCATTTTTCTTTTTATAAATCTCAATCAGATTCTTGGTATAGATTGATTATTGGGCAAGAGATAAGACTGATAAAGATTAATATAATCAGTATTAATGAGAGAGAGAACATTGGTATTTTACATATACATATACCGTATTCTTACAACAAGAGAGTGTGAATTTATATTTAAATTATATATTTTACCTGCTAATTTTTCTTTTTTTTTCTCCTCTTACAAAAAATGTAAATTATAAAAATTAATCTATATCGATAAAGAAAAAGAAAAAAAAAAAAAGAAAAGAAAAGAAAGGAATTTGTACTTTTTAAGATAATTCTATTATTTTAAATGTAACTCATTGATTCTCTTTTCTTGGCAATTTAGGAGCCAACGACATGTCCTTATTAGCACATATTTGTCTAGCCTTTATGTATATTATAATAAATTAAATACACTAATGTCTTTTGTATTTTTGAATTTTTTTAACATTCTCTTATATACCTCGTAACAAAATATATGAAGGATAAAAAATGATACTACAATAAGTTTATAATCGGTTTTATTTAATTGTAATTTATATTTACGCAGACCGTTCGGTAACAGACTAACATCCATCATTGATTAGGATTAGTGGATTTCTTATTTCTTTGTCTTCTTCTGACATTTTGATATCGTTAAAGTTGCAGCCTCTTTTCATTTCTTTTAGTAAATAAAAGAGATTACAATCCGCGTTTTACGCATTGATCAGTTAAATAGTTTTTGCGAATAGCGCATGTTTATATCTGTGAATAATGCAGCCTAACTTTGAAACATACGAATTATATTTAAAATATGCAAAATAATATTTCTGTCTGATAATGATTACTGAACGAGATGCGATTTAATCAATGAACTTATAGATAAAAATCATTTTACAAAAAATAAAAATAAAAATAAAAAGAAATGGAATTAATTATTTTCTTGGAATGGAACATTTTCCCTGATGATTTGTTACAAAAAGAATACAAACGTAGTATGATCCTCAGTTGGATCATATTTAACAAAATATTAAACTTAATTGGTAAACTGCATTATGCACTTCCACAGTCGTATAATTTTTTGTTTTTTTTTTTTTTCTTTTTTCTATCTTTCCGTGTATTTAGTTTTTGCAGCTCTCTTTCTCTAATTAAGGAAGAGCAAGATTGATTATATTCCACTACTACTCTTATAAACAACAAATGCACGTTTGACAAATATGTGTGTATGTATATCGACGTATTTACAATTCCTAAGTAGAATCAATGCGCCGCGCCACTTTCACACTAAGCAACATACAAAATTTGTATACTCGTTCAACAGTTTACAAAAACCAGGTTTACCTAACATTATTCTCAAGTGATATTCTCAAGTAACTGAGTAAAATTATGCATGAAATAGTTTATATATCTATAATGGAGGTAAGAAAAAATGAGCGAGAGAAAGAGAGATAAGTTAAATCTCATCTCGTCGTCATGCAAAGTCATTCCACGCAGTAGTGATATTTACAAGAGAATTCTGACATCGAAGAGAAAAATCTTATAAGCTTAGTTTACATCACAAAACTGTACAATTTTTTCGATTGAATTGAGTTTTACTGATTGTTTATTACAAGGTATATAAATTGCAGTCACACGCATTACCACCCAGTTTTCCAAGCGACAACTTACTCCTTTGATCAGAATTATTTACAAAGTGGTCTGCCGGTCCACCTTGCCATTAAAAGTAATTATCTTTCGTCTCTTGTCATAGATGTATTTTAATTATATGTATATAGAAAAAAATCACTTCGAAAAAAAACGTCTATAAATTCGATCATTAATATATATATAATCCCAAAAAGAAGGATTATCTTTTTAGCTAAAACATAAATTTCAGTACTTTCACTGTGAACACATTGAATATGAAATGGCTATTACAAGAAATTACAAAAAGGAGTAAGATAAATCTCAATTTGTCTTGTAGCACAGCCATTTTCCTAAAGAAAAAGAAAAAAGTACAAATACCAAAGAGGAAGCAACGAAAAGTAGTACAAGTAATGGAGACAATACGGAATACTTATGACTAATAAGACAATTTATACATACAGATGTAGACAATAGAAATTGCAGTTTCTTCAATGTACTAGAGTTTGAATATACAGGAAATGATATTTATTTACAGTTACAAAGATTTAGTAGGTGGCCCCAAATATTATAATTGGATTTAATCGATCTTGCGAATATACCAATATAAACTCTTTGGAGATGTACTGGGTACAAATTTTTAAATAGGTGCACATAATGACGTGGTGTTTATAGCCAATTTCGATGGGATTAAAATCGAATTAAAATGATCATTTAAAAAATATCATAAATTGAGTAAATATAAAAATATGTAGGTTTACACATCGTGGAGAATCGTAACTTTTCTACATTCACATTTTACAAACTATGCACCTAGTTCGACTTATAATTTATTTGTTGTTTTTATTTTTTTTTTTTAATAATATTGTTCATGATATCACCTACCCTACAAATGTTAGCAATATCGGCTTAGTATTGTGTTTGCGTACAATACAATCCATTTAAATACTATCTTGTCAATAATTTTTAGGTGAAAAAACTCCTATTTCATGCCCTAACACATTATACTCGCACACACATCCATTCATCTTAGGCACATTACATCCTTGAAACAAAGCACATCACAATCATGGTCAAGCTGATCTCAAAAGGTCTTCACGTAAAGTTTTTCTCGATCAGTATAATCATGGATTATTATGTATAATAGTTAGTGAGTGAGACGTTTTCATGAGAACAGCAGTTGATGAGAACTTGGCATGAGACTAATAGGAGTTACATATGTATTACAAATATGTTCATGTAGCGTAACGTTTGGTCCATAGCCGTGCTATGCGATCATGTTCTTCTCTGTTTTGTAAATATTGTGTTGCTATACTACCCACTAAAGGATCAGCTGTAAAAGAGAATAATATTAATTATTCGCTTATAACACACAAAAAATTGCTCATTTTTTAAATATTTATTAATTAATCATTATAAAATATCATACCTGGATTACAGTCTGTGAGAAGGGAGCATATAGAAAGTAACACTTTCGAAATGGTAAGTGCGGGAGACCAATTGTCTTTTAATATGTCCAAACAGATCACTCCTTGACTGTTGATATTGCAGTGATAAATACGTGTTCGGAATGTTACCTGTAAAAAGAAGAGTTGTATTATAAATGTTTATCTTATAAATATTACAATTATATTCATTAATCCCTTACACTATAACAAGACTTGTGATACGCTTTATGGATCAAGCATAAGAAGCACAAAATACAGAACCAACTTTGTCATGCAGCTCCATGCTTTAGTTCACACAGCAAAGGATTAAATAAATAATATAATAGTAAAGGTTAAAAGTTTTAATATACCTTTGGAGGTTTAAAGGGGTATTCCGGAGAAAAGTGTATGTCAAGAAAAAATACACCTCCTTCGTATACAGAACCCGGAGGACCTAGTATTGTAGATACCCATTCGTATAAATTATCTCCTTTAGGCCCGGCACTATAAAAAAAAAACAAAGATAACATTGAAAATAAAAAATGAGATTTGCATAACGTTTATGTTATCGTAGTAAATAAGACAGTACAATGATGTAACAAATAGATACAAGAATGTATAAATAATAAGAATATGTATTTATAACTATAATCAACAAACCTGCAATTGGGAGGTGGATCTAACGTGATTTCTGCCAATTCTTTCTGTATCCTACGATATAAGAATATCAAACGAATGAAAATAATTATAAAAACAAGGTATATGATTTCCCGATGTAAACATTAAACGATTGATCTCAAAGTTTTAATACCTTTTAGCAGAAGTTCCTAGAGCTTTCGACATCTTTGGATTTGGCTTGGTTTCTTTATTTTCTGGCTTATTGTCTGCCAATGAGGAACCACGACCTCTTCCAGTTCCACTTGAGCCTGCCCCGGACGACATGATTCTACAATGTATGAGTAAAGCATAGGTTATTGTTATTTTAAAACGATTCGTTCCAATAGAAAAGCTTTTAAAATTCATAACAATTTTTTCATAATACATAAAGATAATTTACATCCTATGATGCGCAACACTTTTAACTTAATTTGTAATTCTTTTAAAAAACAGTATAAATAAAAAAAAGAAACAAAATACGAGGAATACGTTTATTACAAATATTTCAAATTTCAAACAATGTTTGTTTGATATACAACAATAATTTTTGATCATTATAGTAGAAGTTGACATTGATTGAAAAATTAAAAAAAAGAAAAAAGAAAAGAAAAGAAAAGAAGAAATTAAAAAAAAGGGAAACTAAAACTAATAACCGAATGGTTCATCTCTCTCAGGATGTACGTAGAAAAGGAGAACAAAGATATCGATGTATAGAATAAGCCATAGTAGACATTTTCCTAGGTTTCTTTCATATCTATTTTAAATATTTCGATTCGTTTGATCGTTTGGATGTTCGTTTTAACCGCGACGGGATAACCGCCTCGAGCATCCTCGAGAACACGATCCCTAGGAGGACGTACCGCCCGAGGAACGAAAGGAAAGAAGAAGGGGAAGGAGTGAGTGAGTGAGTGAGAAAGAGACAGACAGACACAGAGAGAGAGAGTGAATAAGTGAGTGAGAGAAAGATAGAGAATTGGAAGTGGAGGAGGAGGAAGAGAAATAGGAGAGAGAGAGAGAGAAAGAAAGAAAGAAAAGAAAAGAAAAGAAAGAAAGAAAAAAAAGAAAGAAAGAAAGAAAGAAAGAAAGAAAAAGAATCAAATAAAGAAAGAAAGACAGAGAAAAATGATAGATCGTAACGAAAGGTGTTTAAATATCGGATTGATAGAGAAAAGTATAAAAGGAGGTGTTGGGTAAAGGAAAGCGCGAGGGACAATGGTAGGGTCTCGTACCTCGTGTGTATGATGCGTCCGTCCACGCCGTGTTTGCAGTCGTCGTCGCGCGAGGAACTATCTTTCGCCGGGATTGGTGGGGAGGGGAGGCGCGGGCCGAGGAAAGGAACGAGGGAAAGGGACGAGAACGACGACTTGGCGGCGGTCCGCGTAGGAGAAGAGTCGCGCGGACTTTGCGATGATTCGCGGCTTCGCCGGTTCTCTTCTCGCTTTGGAATAAGTGAGAGAGAGAGAGAGAAAGCAAAAGACCGAGGTAGGGAGAGAAAGAGAGACAGATAGATAATGGAGGCCGCGCAAGCACCACGCGCGCAAGCTCTTTCTCTCTCTCTCTCTCTCTTTATTTCTTTCTTTCTTTTTTTCTTGCTTTTTTTTCTTTTCTTTAACAAATTTAAAAAAAAAAAAAAAAAACAAAAATACAAAATAAAGTTATAAGGAAGATTACTATCGATACTATCGAAGAGAGATTTAAGCTATTGTGTATTGTTCTTTATATTATATTTTCGTTGCATTTTGTCCCCTTTTGTTATTATCACTCTTTTTTCGGAATTTTTTCTTTTAACCGACAACAATTCGCGAAAACGAAAAGATTAATAACGTTAAATATATACGATCAATGTATAATAATTTTTGATTCCGTTCTCGTACCAATGTCCGACGTGATCGATGCTAAATGACCGATCCCTGGGATCACACAAGTAAAGTCAAGATAAAGAAGGGTAGGGATGCACGCCGACCTTTATGTGTTACACTATTCCACATAGGGAGGAAAAGATGGGTAAACAGCACACAAGCGTTAACGTAAAGCAGGAATACGAATCGTTGTCACTTTTACTTCTTTCCTTTTCTTTCCTTCCTTCCTTCCTTCTTTAATTTTCTCTTTCTCTTTTTCTGTTGTACTCTTCTCTTGTTCGTGTTGTTGTTGATCTTCTTCTACTTTTAAACACCCCCGAAACTACCGACGTTTCACTCACGTTCTCCTCTCACGATCATTTATCTCCCTTTCATGTCCCAAAATCGCGATCACGGCTTCCTTCGTTCCACGACGAGCGCCGAACAAACGTGCGCATCTCTCTGATCGTCCTCGCCGGATGTTGATTCTGCCCGGCCCCGTCACCGCCGCCACCGCTACCACTACCACACTTTTCCTCCTACTCCACGATACATAATATACCGCCACCTCAAAATCACCATCACTACCAAACAGTTATCAGTTACGCTGCAACGAACTTATAATTCTTACCGCCTGGCGGCGCTCCCAACGCTTATGCACTTTTCATTCTTCCCCTATCTATCATATATTCTCTAATACTTTGTTACATTTTTCTTATCTTTTGTATCATTCATTTTTTTAATACGTTTTATCACCTGTTCGATTTACAAAAGTTTAATATCATTTACCCTTTATTGTCGATAATTCTATTTCTTTTCGTTAATTATTTACGCGTCTTTCTTCTATTTCTCTCGAACGCAATTGCGATTGGTCGAAATTATTCTTATTGAAATCGAACGAGAATTTCTATCATTCGATTGCTTTTTTATTTTCTTTTTCGTTATTTATTGATTAATAATTACTTTCGTAATTTTTATTGCTATTAATTTAGCGTTTATTTTAAATTCATTATTATGTTTTAATTCGTTACTATGTTTTGATTGGTTGGTCGGAAATTCTAGTTCCGTCATTGGCGTTACTAATGGAAAATATCAACAAACTATTTTTAGTTTTTAGTATTTTGATGATTAATCGAATGTTTTTTATATTCTATATAAAGAATCGAGAACGTAAATAATATTACAATTATATAATTGTGATAAATATGATAATCGTTAATTTCAATTTTTATCGATAAACGGCGCTGCTGTTTACTTCCTATCTAATAACATGTCGATGTTTTGAAGTTATAATCATAAAGTTATTCATTGTTGTTTAAGTCTGCATTACGTCTTATTTGTAGTTATTTATGGAAATCGTATTGTGTAGTTACAATATAACGAAACGAGTTTGATCATTCTAGTGTTATATGTTTAATATCTTTTATATTATATAAAGATCGTATATTCTTGGCATTCGTTTGTTGACGTATATTTTGTAAATTAAGTTGCATAAGTTTATAATTAGATAACAATTATTATCAAATCAGTGTATTAAGGCATCTGTTAACATTCCACACAGTAGTTATTATTAATATTTATTAAAATGGGGAAACGACAGCATCAGAAAGATAAAATGTTAATATTATTTCTACATTTTGGTTTGAATAGGTTAGGATATTGATACAAAATTTATATTTAAATATATATTGTAGGTACTTAACGTACACCGAATGGACAACATTATACGGTGGAAAAAGATCAGGTCCTTTAGAATCTACCGAAGATACTACTTTCAGACGTTTACCTTACGATCATTGCTGTTTGAGTTTAAAACCATTCGAACATCCTTATTGCGATGCACAGGGGCACATCTTTGAATTGGAACCACTTTTGGAATACGTTAAAAGATTTAAACATAATCCTGTGACAGGAAAATCTTTAGATCCTAAAACGTTAATTAAATTAAACTTCCACAAAAATGCACAAGGACAATATCATTGCCCGATTCTTTTCAAACCGTTTACAAAACATTCGCATATCGTTGCAATTAAAACTACAGGAAATGTAATGTCGTGTGAGGTAAATAGAAGACTTATTAATTTAACTAAAATTATTATACTAATGGATTGAAATTGTATTAACGAAGGTGTATTTTTAGGCAGTAGAACAATTAAACATTAAAACACGCAATTGGAAGGATTTAATAAACGATGAGCCTTTTACAAGGAAGGATATAATTACTATTCAAGATCCAAATAATGTGACAAAGTTTAATTTATCGACATTTCATCATATCAAAAATAATATAAGAGTCGAAGACGAAGGTAATTCTATGGTTTTATTACAAGGAATAATTTTTTACATATTCTGTTTTATTGTGAGTTTTTTATGAAACTTTCTTTTCGAATGTTTTTTTTTTTAGATGCCAAAAAGGAAAGGTCCGATCCAACCGCAAAACTTAAAACAGTGTCTATGGAGACTAAAGAAATATTGGCAGAATTAAAAAAAAATTATAAAGAACCAGAAGCAAAAGAAGAAATTAGTAAACCACAAGCTGACAAATTTAATGCCGTTAGTATTAATATTTTAATACGTAATTATTAATGTTTAATTTATTTAATAAATGTTTACAGGCTCATTATTCGACTGGTGCGGTAGCTGCGGGTTTTACATCTACTGTAATGCCAAGAGAAACGAATCATCAAGCTGCAGTAATTGCCGAAGATTTGGTTCGTTACGAACGGGTCAAGAAGAAAGGTTAATTATCATATACTTATATATTTCTATATTTTATAAAAGTAGAAAGCAATTAATTGCATTAAATATTTTTATAGGATACGTTAGATTACTCACAAACTTTGGTGCCTTGAACTTAGAACTTCATTGTGATATCGTACCGAAAACATGTGAAAATTTTATAAAACATTGTCAAAATAATTATTACAACGGTACCAAATTTCATAGATCTATACGAAACTTTATGGTAAAATATTGAAATTATAAATATTATATTATTTATTAGTATTACCAAGTATCTTAGATATATTAAAATTCTTTAGATTCAAGGAGGAGATCCAACAAACACCGGTAACGGTGGAACATCTATTTGGGGTAAATGTTTTGAAGATGAATTTAAACCAAATTTAATTCATCAAGGAAGAGGTATTCTTTCGATGGCAAATTCTGGACCAAATACTAATGGATCTCAATTGCAAGTATCTCAAAAAAAAAAAAATATATAATAATATTTTATCAAATATTAAACTAACACACAAATGTATATACATATAATCAAACGATATCACTTTACAGTTTCATCACCTTTCGATCGTGTCGACATCTCGATCGAAAGCATACAGTATTTGGTAAAATCGTCGGAGGTTTAGAAACGTTAAACACAATAGAAAAAATTGAAGTAGATAACAAAGACAGACCTATCGAAGATATTGTAATACAAGGAGTATTAGTCTTTGTAGATCCTTTCCAAGAAGCTGAGGAACAATTACTTGCTGAAAGAGCAGCGGAAGCAGAAAAATTATCACAGGAAGCAAATAAAAGTAAAAATGCAGATAAAAAAGAAGGAAATGATGTTCTCAAAATTTATCGTACTGGCGTAGGCAAATATTTGAAGATAAACAAGGATGAAAAGTGAGTGAGACATTTTCCATCAAACATTTATATATATAGACTACGTTAAATAAATAAATAAATTCATTAATTTCGTTTACAGAGCGAACAAGGATGAAATTTTGACGACGGAGCAACCCGTTAAAAAGAAAAAGGTCGTAGCAAATTCGTTTGGAAATTTTTCTTCTTGGTAGAAATAAAAAAATATTAAAAAGTAAGATAGAGTATATTAATATAAAATTAATAATAATTTATAAAAAGAAAAGAAAATCTATAAGGAGAGAGAGAGAGAGAGAGAGAGAGAAAGAAAGAATATTTTTTATTAATAAATGAATCTACAAACCATTCTTATCTTATTCGTTTGATCCTACGTTATATTAAAATATAAAAAAAATGCACAAATCTTATTAAATTATATATATATATATGTTTGTTTATATATATATATGAAGGGCATTCCTATAGAGTATATATATACATATATAAATATACATATATATTCATATATATTTTAGATAAAATATAAACGAATTACGTAGTATCGTTCGAACCTAACTTATTTAATGTTTGTACAGTAAAAAAAATAAGAAAATAATATTTATATACATATATATGTATATATGTTTTTATCAGAAATATGTACGTCTAGGTAATAAGGTCAGTGTCGAGGGAGAATCTGGATTGCAAGGACTTCAGTCGTCCATGTTTGAAATTTGAATGCGCACAGTCGAATAGGTCGGTCGCGCGTTGTGCCGTAATTTGCGGTATTTTGGACGATCTAACGATTTCAGTGCGTGTATTTAGGGATATTTTGTGTACTGGATAATCGAATAATTTGAATCACCGTACCATGGATGATTTGGGTGAGTAATTATCAAACTCTATAACATACGGCCGATTAAATCTAACCTCAAATTTTCACTCGACGCCTCGAGTCTGTCAAGTTCTACTTGATTAACGATTTTATTTATTTTTTTTTATTTTGATTTTTATTTTTATTCGTTCAATTTGTCCATTTTTTTTAAATGGTATATATAGATTTACATTTAATTTGCTTTATAAATTAATTTTTTTAATTATTTATACGAAAAATGGACGCTACAACGTGTCATCGTGTATCTAATTATTCATATAAGAATGAAAATTGACAGTATCGACGTTTCAATGGATCTTTGATGAATAAATTATAAATTTAACATAATATGTTTATATAATACAATGAATATTATAAATCTAAAATTAATTTAACTGTTATAATATATAATTTTATAGCAAATAATGTATAACATATTTTTTACTGAATATCATATTCATTTTTTATTTATAATAATTATTATTTAATTTTTTAATTTTATTTATTTGCAAATGTATTTATTAATCAGAAGATCCGAAAGAAGAGAAAATTACGAATTAAAAACATGTAACAGTGTGTTTATAATTATTTTAACAATAATTATTATTTTTACTTATCAGTTATGCATTCAAATATTCGAGGACATCGTGTGAAAACTTTCTTTTTGTTAATACAATTAATGTTTATATACTGTCAAACTGTGAAAACATTCTTTATGTTTATGTATGTATTTATACATCACATACATACTCATTTATATGTACATATCATATACATACATATGTACATATAATTTCGTTACTTTCAAACTATGACCGCCATATTTCTTTCCAATAAATCTCACAAGATGTCACTGTTTACGTATTTGTTGAAAACTTTACAGACACATTTCAACATATATATGTATATATTTTTTTTTCTTATCAAGAACGAAGTATTAACGTTTAAAAAAAAATATATATATAATTTAAATTTAAGGCAATAAATTAACAAAAAAAAATTAATTATGATAAAACACACTATCAAAACAAAAACTGTTCAATCTTTTTCTTACCTTCATTTTTTCATATTCTTTCTTTCTATTTTCTCTTGTGATTAGAATGATCCTAACAAGTATCCCCACTTGTTTTCTTGTCTTCAGTATAAAACAATAAAGTAATAGGTGTTTTGTTGAACGCTGTAGTCAAGTGCCAACGATCGTACGTATTTTTAGTGAGTTTCTCGTCGTCCCCGAGCTTCCTCGTGTTTCAACGTCGCTGTTGATAGCTAGAAAGGTCCCTCTATACGTATATATATATATATGTATATATATATTGGGTTAGGGAAAAAGTTTCTTCGTATTTGAATGCAAAAGTGAAACAAGTTCTTTTTTTTTTATATTATGTATCCAATTTTCCCCAAATAATTTAAAACAGTTTCGTGGTTGATGTTTGATTTCTTATCGATAATCACGACTACTAATATGCCAATTTTACTGAATTTTTTTCCATCATTTCACTCGTTTTTTTGAACGATTGATCGATCAGACCGAGACGCACTTTCGACATTTAAATATCCAAATTACAAATGCTTTATCGATATCGCATCATGTCTATAAAAATCATGAATTATTTTTTACCAGCCTGAGCCACATTCTTTTCTATTTTGTAATAAAATTTCAAGACACGATAATATTTAATCGGATAAACAAATGTCACGTGTTTTTTTTTTTTTGTATTACTCCTCCGTTGATATGTCAGCTTTTAAACGCACGCGCGAGTATCGTTGGATTCGATTAATATTAGCAGATCTATCTACTGGGAAAATACGAAAAAACTTGTTCCCCAACCCAATATATATACACATATAGTAGATATGTGCATACAGGAAGATATATAGGGCCGAGCTCCTGAAATATACTTAACTTTAGTTCGAACTTCCCTTTTCTTGACCCCTCTTTACCCCTTCCTGACCATTCCTAATGTTCCTCCACCAACTCTCTCTGCATCCACCAACATTCGTCGACCGAGTGCCAGTTCTCTTACGTATACTTCCTGGATTCCTCCTCGGGATTACTCGGGGACGTTTTAGGATATAAACTTTTCACGTTCTGTGTTAAATCCTTCAGTGCATTCTGTGCTTCTTTTTCCAGTGAGTCATTAATTGTCCTCAAAAAAGCCCTATTTTGCTTGTTTATTTGGTAATTCAGAATAAATATTTTCATTAATTCGAATTCGGTTGAAATTTCTTACGAATTTGTTTTATTTTAAATTAAAAAATCACGAAATATTTTTGTTATCCTTTGATTAAACATTTATTGTCAATTCGAATTTAATATATCGATGATTTTTCGTACGAAATAGTTGAAAAAAATGTTTTTCAAAATGGCGATTATTATTGGACTTACTTTGTATTCCAAGTTCTTCATCGTTCTTCGATAATCTTCTTCGTTTTTTTTTTTTTTTTAACATTGTCGTTAATGTAATTTATTAATTGTAGTGTTTTTTGATTGTGATTTGAAAGTTTCGTTAACAGTGCAATGAAGTGTATGAGACATTCGCGTTGAATGAAAGAGGCGTGAGAGGGAACAAGATAATCACGTATTTCGAGAGATTACATATAGTTGTATTAAAAGATATAAGTATAGTATATACGTGGGATGATCGAGTTATCGCAACGAACTATTGATCCGCGATAAACTTGCTATTACTTTCGCGTATCGCCATTTTTAATAATCTTTCTAGAATATCTAGGATACCTTATTAAATCTATTGATTTTGAAATTATAAATGTATTCCAGAAATTCTCACAAACACATTTGGATATATAATATTTAATCTTATTTTTAAAGAATTTTTTTTTAGTCAAATGGATATCCCAACATTTTTATTAAATCATTTTTGATATAAAAAAAAAAAAAAACAAAAATCATTGATGTTCAATTTCAAATTTCCCAATCGGAAAGCTTCAAAGTCCATTTACATGAAATTATATTTTTATTTTTAAAAAAATCAATCACATATATTAATTCAAAAAAGAACTCAATGTTATATAATTAATTTAAGATACATCAACGAAAAGATATTTCATCATCATTTAACTACTCTTGATATAAAACAAGAGTAATTTTTTTATAGAATAAATGTTATAAAAGAAAAGAAAAAAATACGTTTATAATACGCGTTAGTTTCGATGTCATCCAGCAACAAGTGGTTGCAGTGGCGCGTGGTCAGACGATTGGTCCCTTCCATCCCTCTGATTTGTCAGCCAATCGGTGACTATCTATGTAGTACCACGTGACCTAGTAGCGCGTGTCTCGTTTATTCCACGCGTGTCTGTCCGTGCGCGCGTATGAATTATTGTGTACAAACGACGATGTGCGTGGTTTTTATATTATTATTTATTAGAATAATATATCAATCTTTCGTGTAACATTTTGTGTGGGTGCAAAATAGAAAAAAAAATAAAATAAAAGCAGAAGAAGAAGAAGAAGAAGAAAAAACATTAAATAAAATAAAAAATGGCTATGGATAGAACGATGTACGGAAAGGTGCAACCAGGCGCCACTTATCAGCCATTTAGGATCACCATGAAGAAAGGTTCACCTCCTGGATGTAAGTGTTTCGTTTCGTTGTTGTCAATGGTTATTTTATTAGAAAAATTATTTAAAAAAAAAAAAAAAAATAAAATAAAAAGAAAAAGAAATGTCGGAGCTTCTCAAGTTTCTCGTTACCACCCGTAGAAAGTTTTCTATTTTTGTTTCGTATTCGTAATTACACCGAGGACGGTGCGAAATACTATTACGCGTTGCATAATCCTTACGGAGTTTACGCTCGCGGCGTATTTTACATGTAACAAATACTACCCGCACGGCCTCCTTACATAAAAAGCAAGCGTTTGATACCGGTATGCGAGTGACAATATTCATGCTTGTTAATGTGATAGCCTATTGAAATCATTTGTATAAATAGCTTACGATAGAGTTAATTTATATTTTCTTTTTCTTTTCTCCTTTTCTATTTCTTTCTATTTTTTTTTGTTTTTTATATTAACATTTTCACAAAAGTACATTGCACCGGTCAAATAATACATGAATGTACGTCATGTTCGATCATAGTTAAGCGATCGTTATCGCTTGCGTAATCCGTTACCATCAATTTACGCCAATTGTTTTATCGGTGGGCTTTTAAACACCTACGCTGAGCTGCTAGCAGGAAACAAGCTTTATTTCTTTTTTCCTTTTACACGCGATAACATTTCTCTTTTAAGCTCTAAAATATTAATGAGATCAAGATTGATACGCGTAAATAATGAGATAATTTGTGAAACATTGAACTTGCGGAATACTTTAAATTAAAGAAAATCTTTTTTTACGTTAAAGTATTATCTTCATTTTCATTTGAACATAATTCATTACAACATAAATAAGAGTTTTTTTTTTCTTTTTTTTTTTAATTGTACATCGAATTATTAATAGAATAATTGTAAATAAAACTTGATTAATTTCTTTGGGGGTGCGTGGGAAGGGGGGTGGGGGTAGGAGGAGGTTAATTGGAAAAAAAGGTCGAGTACTCTTGTGCAGTCTCACATGCATTCTTCTTTCAAGTACCCTTCACCCACTGAGAGTATTACCTTGACACTAAACATGCCGGTATACTTATCGAACTCATTATCCAGTACCACCCCCTTTTTTGGTATGACTGTAAATACCGTCGACAGTAGTTTCATCAATCGTGTTAGTATCGTGTACCACTTTCGAAAATAATCTTATTTCTTCATTCTATATTTTTCTTTTTCGAATCCATAAATAGGATCGATCGAATCGGAAAAAATAAATTTGCGTAACATTCTTTTTAATTTTGTTCTTTTCCTTCGCGTTTCATCGAAATTCAAGATAGATAAAATAAATTCAGTTGGGTCGTATCGATTGTCGGTAATGAAAATTTCTATGCGTTATTATTTCGAGATTTCTGCCTTATCTACGATTGATATTTATTACAAATTTTATTCAACAAAAAGTAATTTTAAAAAGAAGAACACATTGTCATAATTCAGAAAGAAGTATATCCAAAAAAATATATAAATTCGACGATGAACATGTTGAATAAAAAGATTTTTGTTTTATTCACGATCGAGATATTTCTTTTATATCATTAGGCAAAATTAATTTAAGCTTAATTTTATCGCATACCAAAAATTATGAAATAATTTAAAAAAATAAATATATATATATAAATTCGATATGTGTCATTTGAATTATTCACAAGTTAATAAGTTTATAAATAGTTTTCTTGAATTAAAAAAAAAAAAAAGAAAACAAATTGTAGCAAGAACGTTAGGCGTGGTGAAAGGTATACGCGAGACTCTTTGTAAGAACTGAAACTACAATCTCGTAAGACAGTATGCTTCGCAACGAGTTACAAAACGCCGGCTTTAAATGATCGAGAAATCGGACAGTTTGAAAATACAAGGAATATGTGAATTCACCAATTGGAACGAACGAAGTGTCATTTGGAAAATGTCAAAGTCTTATCTCTCGTTTTCGATCGTTCGTTTCGTTTACGCAAGGAAGAATTTGATTGTGACGTCATAGCGTTTTTTATACAGCCAAGTGTGAAACCACATAAGGAGAAATTCTTTCCTTGGAAATGGATTGGTCAGCATCCGGATGATCAACCAACACAACGTTTCTTCTCCTTATAAAGTTTACTAATGTTGGTATTACGTCGTTCACGTTGATAACGCGAAATGAATTCATTTACCATGACGAAAGGTGAGGTTTAAAATTAGACACGAATATTCGAATAATTCATTAGTCATTTAATATACTTTGCATTAAGTTTAATTGTATTCTCATATTAAAAAGCAAATCGGATTTTATTTTCGACGCTGAGGGGGTTCCAAAATGGCCGGTTTAACGACTGTTTGTTCGTCCAATACGTATTGATTGACGTTCGATGACGTGAACAAAAAAAATAATGAATAAGATAAACAACGGGTCTATGTATTCTTTTTCTTTTTTCGTTTAATTTCTTTCTCTTTCAAAGAGTTAGGCTCGTAATTCTATTCGAGCAAACAGACAGTAGCAGTAAATTTCTACTTGACCTCGAGGAAAACCGTACAACGCACAGTTACGTGTATACTATTCGTGTATTTTATTTTGCAATTCTAATTGTAAGTAAGATGAAATCAAACGAATAAACGAGAAGAAACATTTTTTCGAATAGATGTAAAGTATCTTTGATAGATCCAGAATATAAATATTATTTACTTTCTTTATCATCATCATCATCATCATCATCATCATCATCATCATCATCATTATCATCATCATTATCATTATCAAAAGATAGAAATATTGCTTATTCGATTTATAATGGAAAAACTTAATCGCGGATTTGAAAGTCCTCCATTGATCAAGGCAATCCCTCTTTCTATTAAAACGTTTCTCATTCTATCCTTAATGTAATTGGCTTCTTCGTTCTCTTTAGTTTTTTTCTTCTTTTTTTTTTTACCAATCAGCGTAATTGCATTGAGTCACGCAATATTGTCATATTTTACACGAAAAAAAAAAACAACAACACTCTCGTGTATACCAATTCATAACGTTTTATTTTTTCCCATTTTTAATTATTATCTTAAAGTTTCTAATAACAGTGTTTTAAAGATTATTGAAATAAAAATATAATTCAATGGCATTTTATAATAGAGAATATATTTCCTATGTCACATGTAACATGAAATTACGTATCATTGGAAATAATTTAAAAGAAATTAAACGGTGTGTTTTAATTTAATCAAATGGTCATTGTAAAAATGATTCATTAATTATTAACGTTTCATTTTTTCTTATTCTCTTGTCGTTTCTTTATCGTCATTTTCATTTTCGATTCAAGGTAAAATTCAGGATCGATATTCCACTTCCTCTTTGGATCAGATTTAGAGTTCAGAACCATATCTGGCTCGAGCATAAGCCAATACAACTTCCCACGCGTCGTTTATTAAACCCGTAGGTTGCTTCCTAGTGTAATTAATATTGTAGAATGATATTGGATTAATTTATGGGTTTTTATATATTACAATAATTGACTGGTGGGGGGATGATCGATTAATATTAAATATCCCCCACTTTTCTATTTCTAGTATACTTATTTTAAATAGGGTTTAGGGTTTAACAATTGTTCCCGATCAGAGATTGGCAGTGCCAAATGTTTGTGGGATAATGATTAATAATATATAGAAAGAAATAGTTGTGCACGTAGATATATAAACGTTCATATGAATCTAGAGAAGAGGTAGCAAGAGGTAAGGTAAAGGTGGTTTATTTCTGTAAAGTTTGTCGTCTTGGATCTAGGTGAAAATGTTCTCTGATCCTAATGCCGTGGTTCCCAACGTGGGATAATTCGACTTTTAAGTGGTGGGGTGAGGTGGGGTATTGAATTCAACGAGTTCAATTAACAGTGAACTTTCTTTCGTTTGTTATTCTCTTACATGGGTGTCACGTGTTCTTCGAAAGATTTTTACTTTTAGATCAAGTTAACGTGTACAGGTGTTCACTTTTTTATTAATAAGAATTATACGTCGCACGAAGGGTTGTGGTGGGGGTATTAGGATTTTAGAGAAGTTTAGATGGGACATAGCCAAAAACAAAGTTGAGAATTACTGGACTATAGCAATCAACTAATGTATGTATATATATATGCATATTCAATTTGAAGAGTTAGAATTTAGAGAACAGGGAGAAGAGGGGTGTGAGGTAGATGGTAAAAACTGATTATCACGTAACCACCGATGATGATATTTTGCAGCTTTTAGAGATCAACACGTGTGTCTTGAAATCAGTTCTGTCTGGTCTTGCCAGACGATCGGGCCTTTTCTTTGATAAACATTTTTGTTTTTTTTTATTTCTTTTTACTCATTTTCGTCGTCCTTCTCCTCCGTCAGTGTTGTGTTGCTTTTTAACCCTTTCTATTTCTATCTCTCTTTCTCTCTGTATTTCTTCTTGGTCACGTGACATCGTCGATCCATCATCGGTAGGTTTGACCTTGATCGCCATCCTACCGAGAACTCGTGGAATTTGCCTTTTTTCTTTTCCTTTTCTTCTTTTTTTATTTCTTTTTCTTTTTTACTCATCACAATTTGTAACAAAAATTTTATGCGAATACAACGAAATCGTTCGAAGTATTTTCATTTGTTAGATATATACGAAATTTATGATTTCGTAGAACGGTTTTCTACTATTTGTTTGCATGCCGATACAAAATTCGTAGGAAATTTTATGCAAATTTAGTAAAGGTGATTGATAGATGATTACGGTGATAGTGATGTTATGATAGTTGACGATGGAATTAAAATTTTTGTTTTTTTTTCTCCTCTCAACGTCTAACGAAATTTAGTATTTTATTTCTCGTCAAACGTTTGATTTGATTCTATTTTATTTATTTTGTTTTAATTTTCTCTATACATTTTTTTTTAGAAAAATTTACGTGAATGTGCACAATGATTTTTCGACGATGCATATTAATTGATGGGAACATTTGTTCGTTTGTTTTTTTCTCTCCTCGTGTGATAGAAAATTGAATATTATATTACTTTAATTTTTGCGTATCACGCGCATTTTCAACGTACTGTAAATAAGTTTCTGTTTGGCAAAGTATCAAAAGTAAAATAGGATCTTAGCACAAAAGATTAACTTTTATGTTCTATCCATCCATCCATCCATCCATCCCATTTGTTTATTTGTTTTTCTCTTTTTCTTTTTGTTTTTTCGTTCTCCCATATAAAAATACTGACCAGGATAAGCGTGATCTTGCACAAAAAAATAATATAAAATATCGTGATAATTGTTTCCTCTCAAAAGAAAACAAAAAAAAAAAAATACTTATTTTTTTCATGCACACGCGTCGGTAAAGTAGATCCGTTGGATGCAAATTTTACATCACGTGCGTTCACTTAAGTTAGTTTTCGCGAAACATTTGTTAAAGTTGAGAAAAGATTTATGACGGACCGCAAATAGATCTTAAGATTCGTATCCGATCAAAAAATAAAGAAAAAAAAAAACGTCAAGTCAAGAAAAGAAAAAGAAAGATCAAGTAGAAGTTAAATTTTTGTCTGGCATACACATGTGTGCCCTGTAATCCATATTTTTACATTTGAGTAAGCGTTCACGGAATTCTTCGACGAAATCATTTTTTTTCTGTTCTCTCTTTCTCTCTCTCTCTCTTTTTAAATTTGCTCAGACATTATTTTACCCTAAGTCAAATTTAATATCGTTACGAACGTGATCTCTCTCTTTCTCTCTTTCTCATTCTCATTCTAACCCCGTTCTAATTCAAGATTTATTTTTGTCTTGTAATCGTTTTACTAGCCAATCACGTGGCACCCTTTTCATCCAGAGTTCTATGTAATAAATGTAGATCGATGTCTCTCTGTTAAAATTCACACAACGAACGTTTCTTGAAAAGTTTTAAGATTCATTTGTAAAAAAAAAGAAAATTGTATTTAATTCGTACGTGGGGTGAGTGTGCGTTCGTATTGGAGAAAAATAAAGATACATCACGATAAAAACGTGTTAAATATGACGGACATTATGAGACCCATGTCGCCTGCTCGTTTGGCGACTATCCAGCGACATGCACGATGGGAACAACACGTTAGTAAGTATCATCCTTATCGCGAGAATAAAACGTGATTTTAACAAAAATAAATATTTTTCTCTTTTTATTATTATTATTATTATTATTATTATTTTCTTTCCTGAATGATTCAATGTTTTTTATCTCATAAAAATATGCATTGACACGTTTGGATGTGCAATATTAATGCTCGTTGGTGTGGATTTTTTCTTATTTATTCACACTTTTTCTTTTTTTTTTATGAATAATTAATTTTCATTTTCGTATCTATATGTTTCAATCATTTATTCGAATTTATTCTTTTTTAATCTCTATATCTAATTTTTAATTTTTTAACGAACGATTCATTTGTGCTCCGTGTCATTTATTTTATGAGTGTTTCTTTAACTCTATTTCTTTTCTTTTTTTTTTCTTTCTTTTTTACCCTACGAGATCACGTACACATTGGTACGAGTAATATCGACGCCCAGATTCGTTAGACAGTATGAATCAGATGTATAAAATAGGACTCCTGAAGTTTAACGGGCTTCTGGCCAATATTTAGGTTTCTCATTCACGCATACTTACATACATCCGCGGTTTACCATTTCCGTATACCTTACAACACTAAGCCTCTAAAAAAAACATTCCTTTAAAATATCATTCTTTATTTGTTTGCTTTAAAGTTTGTATCTAGAAAAAAAAAGTAGAGATTTAAATTTGACTCGAAAGAAATGAAAAAGAAAAACAAAACAATTACGATTGAAAAATAATAGCTTCAAGTTTCTCGTTTAATTTTACACTACTGGCGTCCATTTTGTTATCATAACCTCAAATTATTTTACGCACGAGTATTTTATATTAATGGCAATCGATATAATCTTAAATTGTTGTAAAAGTATTTCATATAATAAACAATTGTCATAATCTCAAATTATTATTGTACACATATGTGCATTTTATATGATAATAAAACAAAAAATTTATATATACATATACATTTTTCTTTTAAGTTTACACGACATTATTTCGGCGTTTTATTTATTCATCGCAGCTTCCATATTACGTGGAATATTTTACGTGGAAAAAATTAAAAAGAATTCTTTAACGATTTGAAATATAGAATTACAAAAAAAAAAAAAAAATGAATAGAAAAAAATTATCGAAGAATATTTTCCTTAGAAGATCCTACCAGTTCATTATCGGCTTGTGTTCTGTCTTTCTTCGTATCAGAAGTTAGCTGATACATCAAGCTGCATGTTGTGTTTGAAAAGAGTGAAAGAGAGAGTCATGTCAGGCTGACAGAAAGATGAATAAAGAGAAAGAAGGGTCTAGGAAACTGTTCTCTCTAACACGAAAGCAGCATCATCGTGTTTCTACCTCTAGCATCGGGAATTCTCCTACCATATTCTTCTCACCTTCCCCCTCCCTGATTCTCTTACTCCAGGCAACCATGGTGATTGGCTCTCTCTCTTTCCCGTGGCTTCGCCTTTACCAAGAATCTTATTGACAATCAGTATCGTTTCGTCAATCGAAGGTTTCACACGCGAGAGTATTTCTTTTTAGTTATCCGATTGGTTTACTTTGTGACACACGTGATATCACGTCATTTGAAAATTTGTAAAAGAAATTTTTTAATTTTTACATTTTTTGTTCGATAGAATCTTATTTTTGTTCTTCCAAACCCCAATAAAACTGTGATAAAAGCGAACGTGCGGGTTGGTGAGATATATAGAGAGGATTTATTATTATTATTATTTTATTATTGTTAGAGAATTTTTCTTATGTAACAATTTCGTTGAGATTATAAATATTATGAAAATAAATTTTTGCCGACAAATCGTATTTATTTAAAAGTTTATTTTCTCTCTCTTTACGTAATAATAATCGTAATATTTTTTCGACGTTAATTTTTTAATCAAGATTTGTTTAACGAATAATTAATAAAACAACGATTATTGTGGTTATTAACTTTTGTGGAAATAATCTTTGTAAAAAGCAATACAACAATTTACGTAGATATTGTGTTCACGTAATGAATATTTTTCTCAAGAATATCCTCGATGATCTCTTGTACAATAGAAGAATAAGGTCATTGACCTTTTGCAATTAGATGACATCATCGAGACGAACTAATAATTTTTTTTCTCAACTCGTTTCTCAATTCTCGTTTGCTCGATAAAGTCGACGGATTTTTAAGTTTGTTCGTGGCTTTTATTTTTTTTTTCTTTTCCTCTTCTTCTCTTATAATCACGTATCTCTTATATGCACGCACGTTTTCTTTGAACAGAGTATGACGAGGTAGGATGTGAAAATATTTCTCAACATTGATAAGTCACGTCAGTCGAAATATATCTTCAAAAGTGACAGAGAGTGAAATTACAAAGTTTTCCTTTTTGTTTTGACGTCGAACTTTTATTATTTGTAATGGAGGAACAAGATGTTAGTGCGTTTCAATCTTATACAGAGAATCATAACATTTACGAAGCTTATCAAGGCGACAAAGCTGATAACAATCTATTTAATCTTGGTAATTCTTTCTATTTTTCTTCATTTATACACGAGGTGTTCTAATAATTGCTTTACTGACAATGAAACCAGAAAGAAATCTAGATCTTGTTTATCAGGCATTCAAAATGACAAGATCGTAGTCCCAGACTTTTTTAACTATACAATAATTAAAGATTTTTATCTAAAAATGATAATAAAATATTGTAATTTTATTATTAAATAAATATTAATAATTTTTTCTCCTAATAAAAAGCGACTTTTATAATACGTTTTATATTGTATATGTGCACATATTTGATTTGTATAAGATACGAGTGGTGATAAAGTAAAACAAATATGGCGTCGAAGGAAAGGATTAAACGAATTACAAAATAATGAACAAAAAACATAAGAATATAATTCTATTAATTAACTAATATTGATTTGTTTACTTCTTTTTCTCTATTAAAAAGCTACTGTTAGAAAACTGTTGTGTATATTGTTATAATATGCATAACTATATACGATATTTGATTTGAACGAGGTACGAGTAACGATAGAGAAAAACAAAGATGGCGCCGGCAAGGATCAAACTACATTTTTTTGTCTGTCCATTTAATAATATTGTCTGAATTGTATGTATGTATATGTGACGTTATCACTAAATCCATTCGATTAACACATTTTGATAAGCATTACGAAAGTATTACCAAAGTGTTTTAGAAAGATTTGTTCAATCGAATACTATCATTTATATATTACGAAATGATTTTGCTTATGTTCGAAATATATTTCAAACAATTTTATATTCAATTTTTTGTTTTTTTTTTTTTTATATTTTTCAGATGCCCTATTGGCGGATTTACAAAATACTGTATCGTCCGAAGGCAATCACGTCAGTAATAACGCTACACCCGGTTACGGCTCGTTAAATGGTGCAAGAACGCATAACACGAATGCATACAGATCGTACGAAAGTAGGACCTCTCCATTACCGTCGCAATCGGTAAGTTTATTTATTTCATATTCAATTAATGATTTACAAATTTTAAATGGATCAATTTTTAATCATTGATTTTTTAAAAGTAAGTTTTAATATTCTAAACAATTCATTGATGCAATGTTCAATTAATGATTTATCGAACGTTTGGAAGCAACTAAATTATCATTTTTTTTCTCTCTTTTTAATATAACAATTTGAATATTAGAAAAAAACAATAAATTAAATAAAATAATATTTATAAACGATTTCACGTTATATCGACTGAGAAAAAATTCCTTCGCGATATTTTAAATCAACAGACGCCATATTTGCATGAGATTATTCAATAACAGGAACGATTTCTTCTCTCGATCGTTCACCATTCTACTTAATGAATCGTCAACGAAGAGGAACACCTATGTGTCATTGATAATTTTAGACACCGCTGTATCTGTTATTATGCATCTTGCAAACGTGATACCACTTTTGTTTGTGATAATGAAAAGTTTGCAGAAGACAAGGGGGAAAAAAAAAAGCTATGATATCCGAGATATTTATATAAAAGATGGCGTATTGGGTTGCGTCTGAAGTTTCGTCAATATTTGTTCTTTTTTTTTTCTTTTTTTTTTACAAGACATTTGACAAAACTTTTATAAGCAACCCTTTAATACAACCCTCTTAAAAAGCAATCCCGGACAATATCTTTCAAGAGTTTCAGAATTATGCTGACGACGCTGAAGCTTTGTTTTTCGTTTTATTTTCCTTGAATTCTTTACCAAAGGCATTTTATTACACTGCTCTTTGTTAAAGGTTATATAAGAGAGTGTAATTACGAGATGATGTTTATTGAAATTGATCTATATGCGATTTTCAAGGCTTTATAGACTATACCGAATGATTGAAGTAGTAAATTTGAATTTATTGATCGTATGCATTGCATGCATCGTATATATGCGAAAAGATTTAAACAAATATTTCTATCAGGTATTTATCGACTTAATTCAAAGATATTTAAATAAATGAATTTGTCTCTTTTTGTTGTTGTATGGAAATTAATAAACAAAAGTATTAGTAAAAATCTATCTGTAACTTCGTTACCAACTTGATCATTTGTCTGATATAGTTACAACATTATTCTGATAGATGGCAATATTAACGTAACGTAGAAATCTGCATACATATTATCCTATCCCAAAATATAAAATAAACAAAAAGCATAAAAATACATAAATTTTTGTTCGATTAATCATTTCATTTTAAAAACTTACTATTACAATTAAAAACTTTCATTTTGATTAAAATTATGACGATTCGTAGAAAAAAAAAAACCCAGAAAATCTGCATTATCGACGATAGATCGAATTGATTATCGATAGTTAAATTTCACCGATAGATGTCGACAGGGGCGTCAAATGCGCGCGTCTGAAATGGCGGGATCGTAGTCAAATTTAAAATTTCGCGTTTGACCTTCCCTCGATTTTCCATAATATCCCGAAATAGATCGATCCCGTTGAGAAGCGGGTTGTTCGTCGTCATTATTTCGACGACGGAAGCGACTGCCTTTACGAACCAGAAGGAATCCATAAATAAACTTCGCACGTCGATATATCGCGATTGAGTGCCAAATTCGATTTACCCCTCGAGTATAGTATATTAATTTTGTCTTTTACAAAGATAATAATATTCATATTTGATTCTTGGATTCTCGTCGTTAAATCCAAAATTTATCAATCAATTTTTTAAGACAATATAATTCGATTATAGATTATAAATTAAGATAGTTTTATTTATTCCGTTTAAAAAATATTTTGATGCATTTAAACGTATCGTACAATTTGTTTTTTTTCGTATTTATTTAATTAAATTATATGTATTTTTTTTTTATTATATTAAACGAAAAAATAATATCATATAAAAAATAATATCTCGTGCATTATTATTAACAATTCAATAGAATTATCTTTTTAATTGTAATTCTTGTAATTTTTTGTACCAAAAAAAAAAGATACACCAAAAACATGTAACTTGATAATAAAAATCGATAAAGATAGTCGTAAGGGTGGTGGTGATGTCTGGACAACTCGAAAAGTTAAGAGAACTCTTTCAAGCATGTGTGGCGTAAGAAGTATCTAAAGTTAGAAGCAATATGGTGTCTAAAATCTACTCTTTCTCTCTCTATCGCACACCGTAGCTAAATATCCTCAACTTTGATGGAGTTTTTTTATTTTCTTTTTTTAAATACAGTCGTCAATTTTCCCCCTTTGACGCGATCCGAAATCCCAAAGTAAAAACAGGTCAGTTGATTTAACTGTTTTTGATTATTGTTGTTTATGGAACATTATCACGTATGGTTTAATTAATTGACCTAATATATATTTTTTTTTCTTCAATTTGTCATTCGAGTTGAATATCGCGAGTTAGAATAAATTATTTCTATTTTATATTAGAAATATCTAAATAATTTTCTTTTTCTTTTTTTTTTTATGAAACGAACACACACATGTGACAAACGAAAAGAAAATTCACGAGGTTAGAGAACGAGAACTATAATAATAGTTCACGTAAAGAACAAAGTACATAGACGTATTATCGATCGTATTTGGAATAACACCTGCACCTTTTCCCGTCTATTTTATCGATTCTTCTAGTTGCAAAACTTACTGAATTATTTATACCTTTTGCGTTTCGCTTTATTCGCGTGAAATTTTTGTTACCTGCCTTAGAAAGTACGACTCCAAGATTGTTGCTACTGCCATGTTTTTCTTTTTTTTTTATTTTCATTTTACATTACGTGCTTACGCCGTATAAGTTAATAAAAATACAAACATTTCTAAGTTCTGCATTACGTATACGATATGCAAGAAAATAGAAACTAACTTAATGAAATATTATATTTTAATTTTTTAAACACAAATATTCACACACCCTGACGGTTAACAAACACATGCATATTCGTTTATATGTCATAATACGGATATTTAATAAATTTAACGATACAATTATTTTCACTTTTAATCATCGAAGCGTACACCAATATAAACGTACGCAAATAATAAAAAAAATAATATAAAAAATAAACAGACAATAATAAAATACTTTTGTCTTCTTCTTTTAGTATTCAAATATAACGGGGGAGAAAAAATAATATGCTATAAAGAAGAAGAAAAAAGGTGGGGCGGGGGGGCGGTAAGGGGGATTGGAAAACACTTGCATAACTAGAAATACATTAGAATATTAATAGCTATAATAGATCTCCGATTATGCAAAAGAAAAGATGAAAGAGAAGGAGGTGTAGGTGGACATATTTATTCGTAGCAGCACTAGCAAGGCCGATAATAATAACACGTTTTTACTAAATGTGTGCTTAGACATCATCATCATATCATCACCGTCATCATCTGGATCATCTTTTATTCGAATTTCACAAAAGAAATATGATAATAGAAATGAAATTTCGATATTTTACGACGAAATCACACCATCTCGTGTGTTTTTCTTATCTCGTGCAATGCCAAATTGTTTATCTTATGTTAGTTAGATATTCAAGGAAATGTTTTACTACGTAAAGTTAGATATATGTTTCATTTTGATATGTTGACATATCTTTCTCGTTGTATTCGTCTAAACAAAATTTCATTTCTTACTTTTGCAACAATGTGAAATTGTCGTATTAAACGTAGGTTTAATATGAAGATTTTACTTCTCTTTATTTTCATTAATTTCTCTTTGTCTATTTTATATTATTATTATTATTATTATTTATATTTTTTTTTTTTTATTCTATGAATGAACTTATTAATTATACTTTTTTCAAAACGGTGTTGTTAGCGTAGAAAAGAATAATAGAAATATAGTTAAATCAATTGCTACGTTAATGTAACCGTTTGAACTCGTGTTTCATATCTGAAATGATGATGATGATGATGATGATTTCTCTTACAAATAAAACAAAAAACAAAAAGAATGCAATTATTAAATCCGATGCATTTTATATCGAATTGTCACACATTGATTGTTCATTTAAAACGTTCATTAATAATATCGTACAATTTGTTTTTAAGGTGTTTCTTATTTGTCGAAGTGTGGTAACAATTTTGTTTGGCAAAATAACGAATAATTTTATAACGATAATTTAAATATGATTTAAAGCAAACAAAAGAAAGTATAAAAGTAATTACTTATTTTTTCGAACGCGTGACATCAAAATTTTCATGGCTTTCTGTAAAGGAATTAAAATTCGATTATATTTGTCGTGTGGTTTTCGAAAAGATTTTCGTTTATATATCTGTCTCTCTCTTTCTCTCTATTTCTCTTTCTATTTCTATTTCTTTTATTATCGTTCTTGATATTTTCCTGAAACGTTACGATTTAGCATGATAATCCGATACGTCTTGCTGACATGTTTCTACTCGTTCGCTACGGATATTTTTGGATCAGTAAATTTGCAGGCAACCTAGTTTCCACTCGCAGGATATTCCGTTTTCAATGTTTCTTTTTTTTTTTTTTYTTTTTTTTTTACCGTAAAACGGATTCTTCATTTTTGAATGGGTATACGCAATGAACAAATTTATGCAAACGTATGCACAAATTTTTTTTTTCTCTATGCCAAACTGATCCACATTAAAATGTAACATAATTGTTTTGATTTGCATAACACCAAAATTTATATCTATCGATTAATATTTTTAACGTAACAAAACAACACAACCGATACAAGACAAATATTAATTTTCATAAATTATAATTTCCTTCGTTTTTTTATCCATTATTTGTTTTTTTTTTTATTAAGAAAGCAAACTTAAATCAATCTTGCGAGCTGAAATAAACTAATACTCTAATACTATTATTATTATTATTTATATAATTTACTATTATGTGAAACAGAATAGAAATTATATATGAGAACAGTTTGTAATATTTTACATTGATCACTGTTTAATCTAATTAAAAAAAATATATATAAATATATATATACTGGGTGTTTCGTAATACGTGTGACCCATTTCAGGAATGGACAGGGGTCAAAGAAATAATGAAAAACTTGTTCTATTAGACATTGTATCATAGTTACAATTACTTTTGTGTTTGAATAATTCCTCGAAGGTTTTTATCTTTATTGAAAATGATCCAAAATGACTACCCCCGGTTGGTATTCAAGTTTCTTGCAGTCATCGTATCATCGAATACCGCAGACCATTCCAAAATTCCAGATACGAGTTGATGAATCTGTTGACTCAACAATCTTCTTCTAAACACGTGCTCGAAGTTCTTTAACGTTGTCAAAATAGGTGCCTAATACATTATTTTCTTTTTAAATCAGAGCTCAAAAATCACAACATTCAACGATCGTAACTTTGAACGTAAAACAAAGTGAAAAACTAAACAATGTATTCTTCCGTTAAGAAAATTACTGAACATTTAATATTTATAAACGATTCAAATTTCTAATAAATAAATTTCATTAAAAAGAACGTTAACGACAATCAAGACATATAACATTTACAAATTTAAACAAAGAATGATCATTTTGAATAATTTACTGTGAAGATTATCTATCGCGAATTATAGAAACACAATATAATAGTAATGATAACTTTTATAAACATTAACACGTTTATATTAAGAACATTTTTTATCGTTTTAATAATCCCTGAATTACTTTTGAAGTTTCGTGGTCCCACATATATTAAAAAATATCCTCCATGCATAATATATTAGATATAGAAATGAATTCGATGCCATTTTAAAACAAATTTCGTTATAAGTTTATAAAGTGATCGTACTATTATTCGAAATAATTTTCCATTACTTTCGAAGAGAATTTTCGTCCACCTGTTGAAACAATCGTCGAATTCTTCGACGAAAAGAAAAAAAAGAAAAAAAGGATATGAGTGAATTGAAATATATTAAACGTATTGAATTAATTACTAATTACTACTAAATACTTAATAGAAAAGTGTATATAATAATGATCTTGTACGTTGAAAATGTTCATTAACACACACACACACAAACACACTTATTGCCGTTCTATTTTCGCTTATTATTATTAGCTTGTAAACGTCCGAAAACTAAATTGTCGTAATACTCAATAAATTATTATATAAATACTGGAATTATTTTGATCCTTTCTCTATCTCTCTCGTTTTTCTGTTTCGTTGGAAATGAGAGATACGCGTTAAGACGATAATTTTGTATCAAAAACGAGGAGACCTTCACGAGGATAAACTTATTGGCAAGAGTTTGAATTAGATTGGTAATATATACATACGTAAACCTTGTTACATACGTTTAGTCTCTCTTAGAACTAATTGATAATGTATTTACAAAGGCACTTTCAGTATAGTCGATAATGACATCATGTTTTGAAAATAATGTGCGTATCTAAGGATTTTGGCAGGTCGATAGATAAAACCGAGAAAAGAAGCCAACAATTTTGCATTCACGTTTAGATATACATATATATATATATATATAAACATATACACGTCTTATTTACATATGTACAAAACATTAGATTATATAAATTAAAAATATCTCAAAATGTGACAATATTTGTGTTTCTATCGTTCGATCATATCTAAAATTGGCCATTTTATTTATCCGTTAGGAATTGTACGAAATTAAATTTGTCTCATGTTTATGTAATTTTATAATTTAATTATCAATTAATTTATTGGCAAGAAATTATATAAATATATTCTTTTTTATTATT